TCTGGTTTTATACCCCTAGAGAGAAGAAGCTGAGGTCATGTCCTCTTCATCCTCCAAAGCCACTCCTCTGTATCCACTCAGAACTCAACAGTTACATCACACACTCCTCTTGATTGTTTGTAAAATATGTGAAGCTGGAAGATGAGTAAAAAGTGTATTTAATGAAAATAAAGTGAAACAAGGTAGTTAAATTAAAGCTATTGATGGTTGCAGGCCACACAGAAGACAAATGGTTTGTGCTCTTGCCTTACAGTAGACTTTCACAAGTTTAAGGCCCAGCTTTAACTGCTGCTGTTTCTGTATGGCGTTCTCCCTATCTCCCCAGTGTTTGTGTGGGTTCTCCACATTCCCCTCTTTTTTTCTCCAACAGTCTCAATATAAAATAAATATATTTATTTTACATAAATGAAACTGACTATAGGTTTGAATGTAGTGTAAATATCAATGTGAATTTTACATGGTATGTTGCCTTTTGATGGACTGAAGAACTGTCGTCACCTGACGACCATTGGGACTAACTCCAGTGCCCCCTAAGTCTAGCACCCTAACAAGGTCTCAGATGTAGATTCATGACTTAAGTAGATAGATGAATATTACCAGTATTCTCTGCCTCTAACACAAACTTGCTTCTATGTTGACTCCTGTTGTCTCTCCATCACTTCACTTCTGTTGTCTACCTCGTGACCTTTGCCCTCCACCTAGCTGCAGCCAACTTGGATCAGTAGAAATGGAAACAAAGCTGTGGATCCATACAGTTCATTCACAAACAGGCTGCACAGGAACAGGTACATAGGTTCATGTAGACTCCTGTTCATACAGATGACAACAATCACACACGTGTTAGAAACAACTATTGACACATAGATCATTGCAAGCATAGTAAAATACAAGTATACAAGTCAAATGTCCAACTGGTAAATAGCCTCCAAGAACGAAAAACAATTTAGTTGAATTTAAATGAATCATTCTTACGTTACAAAAACATTTCTTGCCTTAAAATGAAACAAGTTTTTCTTTCTTTTCAAGAGCTTCATCAGAACTCATGGCTAATTCCCTCTGCTCTGTAAATTTTGACACCTGAGTTTGGTTTTATAGCTTTTGAGATCAGAGTCTGAGGTCACTTCACAGACACACCTCTGTCGTGTCACCGAAAAGCCACTAGAGGCACTAGAGGCACAACAACAAGTAAAGGTTTTCAATACAAAATCCACCAAATAGTCTGTGGTCCACTTCCATCCCAGGAGCCAGTGGTAATATTGTTGATGATTATAAGTACTACACTGACAATAAATCCGACTGGGCTTAGAAAAGTGAAACCCTTAAAAGTTTTTAGACTGGGGATTAACATAGTCTAAACTATGGAGACTTTAAACAGTTCACAGGTGGTCTACTCAAAGGCCTGCTACACAGGAACCAGGTTTAACTCTGGACTGTTCTCTAGTCAATCACAGTAAGACGTAACATTGATAAACAGAGTGAAGTTCACACATTGTCTGTGATATTTGGCACAAATCTACTTCCATAGTCACAGTCCAAGTTTCCAGGAGTGTGTGATGTAACTGTTGAGTTCTGAGTGGATACAGAGGAGTGGCTTTGGAGGATGAAGAGGACATGACCTCAGCTTCTTCTCTCTAGGGGTATAAAACCAGACTAAAACACCAGAACCTGCAGAACAGGGTGGGTTCTCGTCACCTGGTTATTTGGTGTAGGTTCAGTGATGTCATTTATACTGTGAACAGTGATTATGTTCAATTCAACTGGATCTTTTTTTGTCCTGGGAGGCTATTTACCATTTGGTCATTTGAATTACTTGTATTTTACAATACTTGCAATGATCTACACGTCAATAGTTGTTTCTAACACGTGTGTGATTGTTGTCATCTGTATGAACAGGAGTCTACATGAACCTATGTACCTGTTCCTGTGCAGCCTGTTTGTTAATGAACTGTATGGATCCACAGCTTTGTTTCCATTTCTACTGATCCAAGTTCTCTCTGATGTTCACACTGTTCCTCGCTCCCTCTGTTTCCTGCAGGTTTTCTGTATCCACACTTATGGTAACATAGAAATATGTAACTTAGCTGTGATGTCCTATGACAGGTATGTAGCCATTTGTTGTCCTCTGCAGTATAACAGACGTATGACCACTCTCAGAGCCTTGGTTTTCATCACTGTTGTATGGTTGTACTGTTTTGTCAGGGTTTTAATCACAGTGGCTTTAAACTTGCGTCTGACGCTCTGTGGAAACTTTATTGACAAAGTGCGTTGTGCTAATTACCCCATTGTTAAACTGGCCTGTTCTGACACCACAGTCAACAACATCTATGGTCTGTTTGGTACCGTCCTCTCAGTGGTCCTGCCTCTGTTCCCCATGCTGTTCTCCTACCTGAGGATTTTTAAAGTCTGTTTTTCTGGTAGTAAACAGACCAGACAGAAGGCTCTCAGCACCTGCTCTCCTCAGCTGGTCTCACTCGTCAACTTCTCCTTTGGTTGTTTTTTCGAAATTGTTCAGAACAGGTTTGAGATGAGAGCTGTTCCCAAAACTCTGAAAATCTTCTTGTCTCTTTATATCCTCATCATCCAGCCAATTCTGAATCCTTTATTGTTTGGATTACAGATGAGCAAAATAAGAAAGTCCTGTAAACATCTCTTCACTCATAAAAATAAAGTGACCTGTCACATACATCTGAAAAAGTGAGTCGGTCTTTGTAATGTGTCAACTACAAATGTTCCAGTCTCATGTTCACTGCATGAAGATGTATCACACATTAAAATACAGTATGTGTATTTATCTGAGTAAATGTATGTTCTTATTCATAAGAGCCATCAAACTATTACAATTTCAATCTGAATAACCAGCTCATGATTAATTATGATTATCACTGGAACAGACAGACCGATATCAGCAGGTAGAGGTCAGTGTTTCCCATCTGTTTTTATCTGTGATTCATCCAAATGATAGAGTTATAAATCTGGACAAAGGTCCATAAAAGTCTCCAACAGTCTCAGTGAAAATGTCTCTGGACTGAAGTCCAGACGTCTACAGTCCTGAAAAATAACTGACACTGTTGTGTCAGTCAGGCTGCTCACAAGGCGGGCCGCTGACCTGAGGTTGAGGCACCCACCAACACAGTTGATAATGGGATGTTAAGCTAAAAATGTTTACGACAGTTGCATTGGTGGAGGGTGGAACAGTTGGATATACAGTCCTATGTGTCAAAAATGTTAATTTTATAACCTTAATTATAATTAATTATTTAATACAATAACAAGTTTAATTTTGACAGCCCTTGATTTAACGACCAAGGTTTGCCAGAAAAAAAATGTTGTTATTCGACATCAAATTGTCTGATGTTTGTTTTTAACATAAATACCTCAATCTTAGATGTTCCAAGTTGTTCAGGACACAAACGATCCTAAAGATTCAATCAAGAAATGGAATGACATTTATATTTAGAATTTTTAATTTTAATTTTAATTCATCATAAGCCACCAGTAAGGCCCTGTGATCTTTTGGGAGATTGTGATCTACCTTTTGGTCAGACCTTTCTAGTGCATGGAACTATTGTTGTTGATGAAGTTGAGTCATTTTTGTAGGCCGTTATGTAGTCTATGTAGCAGCTGTTGACGTCTTTGTGAGTCCTGTTTCACCCTTTGACCCATTTTAATTTAATTGGTTTTGTAGTTATATTTAGCACAGCCCACCACGATGCCCACCTACAAGGGCGGCCATGTTGTGGTATTAAGACAAAAACTGCTCTCCCCACTCCCCACACAGGGGTGAAAAGCTATTTCAGTGTGTCATAGGAGGGCAACTAAATTTTGAATTAAATATTGACACTTGGAAGATGGATGAAGAAACTCCCTAGTTTGACAAAAGTCTTTGACCTGGAGAAGAAAAGCATCGTTTAACACAGAGACAGGTCTGAACTGTGAACTGTCGGAGTCACAGGTGCTCTGTGTTGAGGCACAGCATAGAGAACACTCCTCTGAGCAGGCCATTAGGCATGTTGACATGTAGGTGTTTAAATTGGGGATGCACTGAATATTCAGCCACCAAAAAAATATTCGGCCAAGAATTGCCCAAAAGTTCATTTTCAGCTTTCGGCTGCACTTTGTCACGACTGTACTTGATCCATGTTATAATGATCATTACTATGGGAATAAAGCAGCGTGCACGAGAAATGATCCAGCAATTGGGTCAAGTTTAATGTTTTATTTTTTTTTATATTGTATTTATATTATATTGATTTCTTTCGGTGGTTTGGTTTTTGGTTTTGGCCAACAATTTTAATTTCGGTGCATCCTTAGTTTAAATGTGTACACACACCTCCAACAGACACCGAGACACAACCGTTACCTCTTACTGTTTCAATGGCAGAAAACCTCCCTTGACCTGTTGAAATATTAAAATAACTCCATTAATTTAATCAATTATGTAATCTAATTAAACATTTGCGCTTCAATCAAATAAAAATCTACAGATTTGTTCTTATTCCTGACACTTCATTTTGCGTGAAGAAATGTTGACAGGCGTTTTTTATTTTGCTCATCTGTAATCCAAACATCAAAGGATTCAGAATTGGCTGGATGATGAGGAAATACACAGAGAGGAAGATTTTCAGAGTTTTGGGAACAGCTCTCATGTCGAACCTGCTCTGAACAATTTCAAATAAGCAACCAAAGGAGAAGTTGATGAGTGAGACCAGCTGAGGAGAGCAGGTGCTGAGAGCCTTCTGTCTGGTCTGTTTACTACCAGAGAAACAGACTTTAAAAATCCTCAGGTAGGAGAAGAGGATGAGAAACAGAGGAATGACAACCGAGAGGACGATACCAAACAGACCATAGATGTTGTTGACTGTGATGTCAGAACAGGCTAGTTTAACAATGAGGTAGTTAGTACAACACACATTGTTAATAACATTACCACAGAGCGTCAGACGCAGGTTCAGAGACAGTGTGATTAAGAACTTGATGAAAGAGTACAACCATACAACAGTGATGAAAACCAAGGCTCTGAGAGTGGTCATACGTCTGTTATACTGCAGAGGACAACAAATGGCTACATACCTGTCATAGGACATCACAGCTAAGTTACATATTTCTATGTTAGCATAAGTGTAGATGCAGAAAACCTGCAGGAAACAGAGGGAACGAGGAACAGTGTGAACATCAGAGAGAACTTGGATCAGTAGAAATGGAAACAAAGCTGTGGATCCATACAGTTCATTAACAAACAGGCTGCACAGGAACAGGTACATAGGTTCATGTAGACTCCTGTTCATACAGATGACAACAATCACACACGTGTTAGAAACAACTATTGACGTGTAGATCATTGCAAGTATTGTAAAATACAAGTAATTCATTTCAAATGTCCAACATCTAAATATGCTCCAAGAAGGAAAAAAGGAGTCGACGTGTTGACCATTACCATTATGAAAAGACTCAAACATCCACTAACTGTAAAACATATCAACAGTTCTAAGATGATCACATGGTGTAAAAATAGCACTGTGTAGAGGTCCACAGCTGATATCACAGTTATAAATCAGAATGAATCTGAAGCCACTCCTACTTAATCACCCTGCCCCCCCTTTTCACTTTTGTGTAAAGTACTGATAGTTGAACAAAAGCAAAATAACAATTGGTTTGCAAAAACAATTAAACTGTAATTGAAGTTGATTTGGTGGCACCTATGTACACTGCTGTTATGTGTTACTTCCAACTTGCAGTATGGCTGTGATAATAAAATTTAACTTCACAGTGGATACACATTCTTTGATTCTATCAGCTCCTCCATCTGGATGAGATGAAATTAAACGTTTAATTTAAAAGTTCAGTAGTTTATCATTTCTGGTGCATGTGAGAGCTGCAGCAATATGAACCCCACCCTGAATAGACTGTCCCACGATAATACTGATTCATAAGAGCACTTACATAATGTAACCACTAGAGGCACTCAAACTAGTTGGTTGTTATCTGTAACAGCCAGATACAGTTAGTGTGACAGTCAGTGAGGTCGTGCAACAATATTAAACTATGCTTTTTTATACACATACACGTCTATCTAGCTAATGTATATACCTATTCATGTAATTTACATATCTGTCTATATATCTATCTCATGTTACATGTAGAAATATTCTGGTATAATATTTGGTTATAACATACTTTTATATTCCATTATATCCTGCTTTTTATATATCTAGATATTGAACTATCTCTATATTTTTCCTTTTAAATTTTTAAACATTTGTATGTATTTATTTCTTCATGTATAAATGTGTATATATATGAATATACATATATGTACATATCTACATATGTGTGTGTATATTGATATGTATATATTAATTTATATATATTTATATTATCATTATAATACCACAGAGATAACGTGGTATACTGTTGTAATATGCATAGAAATAACAACGCACATGATAACATCCATCCATCTATCCATCTATCTATAGTTAACGAAGTCAACTACTGACCACTGAGAAATGTCCAGGTTCATTTTAGAGTCAACATTTACTTCTAAAGCTTCTACTTCTTCTGCCCTTGATTCTGGACCAGCCAGTTTGTTTTCTGGTGTCCAGATGTTTTGCCATGTCCTCAAAAATAGCATACACTTCATCACTGCAGGTCTTCCAACTGCAAGAGAGGTGGGTGGAGCTTGCAGTGCCTCATTAGCATTAAAAGGTAAATAAACTGGTCATCTGGAACCAGACTGTTAAACAAGTGTATAAATGCCCAGCTGAGATCAGTCCTTCAGTTTTTTTTATACTAAAGACGTTGCTAACATTTAATTGAGACAACAACATATCAGCTGAATTTTCATAAAACTGAACAGAAAATGTTACCCTTAGTGATGTTAAAGTCACATTGATGCTGCCATCATTCTGACAAGAGAAACCAAAGTGGACACCAAACTAAAGAGCAGCTGCTTGTTGGTGTTGTGGGCCAGATTTTTCCCATAGATTTTAAGAATGCCAACAAAAACAACAGAAAGGTACGATTTGTAAGTCTATGTGCAAAAGGCTAAATTCATACATCATTATGTGGTAATTTCTGAATACTCAGTTTCGTGTTCTGCAACAGTTGTAACCAGTAACTGTAGATGAATGGTGGACATAATAGCTGAGGCTGGAAAACCGATCCGGAAAGATAGAGAAGGAACTTCAAATCAGCTGTTGATGTGGAGACTTTTACAGCAGTGTTTGATTTTTACTGTAAGAATTAACATCAGCTGCTATCAGTCGTCTGGATGAAGTTCATTATAAAAATTCAAACTTTACCCTCAGTCCTCTCCCTGTGGCAATGACACTGAAAGGTTTATGAAAAGTTGCAGAACTTCTGCAGCCTACGTCCACAGAGGTCCATTAGGGAAGTCCCCCTGGAGAAACATGAACCAGTGTTTGAGTATTGTTGTCCACAACATCAAAACATCTCCCCTCTGGAGGAAACAATGACATCAGAGCCAGGATCTTCTTTTAAACTTAGTTTATGACTTTTAAATTGTGTGTTTAATAAGACAGTGACACACACCTGACACCCAGGTGTGTGTGTGTGTGTGTGTGTGTGTGTGTATGTACAGGTGTGGAACGAAGCTCAGGTGAGACACTCAATGTAGCCGGGACATGTAGACTGATGGTCTGAAAGCAGGACAGTGAGGGTTGAAGTTGAGAAAGGAACCAAACACAGATCATTCATCCATTCACTGATATCTCTTTGGTTTTGTGATTGTTTTCTGTTTCTTTACAATAATGGTAAATTCAACTTTTTCATATTTTGTTCTTGGAGGTTATGTTGAAATTGGAAATTTGAGGTACATGTACTTTGTGTTGATGGCTGTCATTTACATCTCTAACGTTGTGTCCAACTCCTGTGTGATTATTGTGATCTGTTTGACCCGGAGCCTCCATGAGCCAATGTACATGTTCCTCTGCAGCCTGTTTGTTAATGAACTGTGTGGTGGAATAGCCTTCTACCCTTTCCTTCTTCTCCAAATGCTCTGTGACGTCCACACTGTTTCTATTCCCTTTTGTTTCCTACAAGTTATTGTCATATACACCTACACCAATGTGGAGTTCTTAAATTTGGCTGTGATGTCCTATGACAGGTACCTGGCCATCTGCTACCCTCTGCAGTACAACACACGTATGACCCATAACAAGGTGTTGGTGTCCATCCTGGTGCTCTGGTTGTACTCCTTCTTCAAAGTTCTTATTAATACGTCCTTGAACATCCGTCTGACCCGCTGTGGAAACGTCATTGACGATTTGTACTGTAAGAACTACCCCATTGTCAACTTGGCCTGTGGCGACACCACAGTCAACAACATCTATGGACTCTTTGGTACCGTCATCACCATCTTGGTGCCTCTACTTCCCATCCTCTTTTCATACATGAAGATTCTGCTTGTGTGTTTCTCTGGCTCTAAACACACCAGACAGAAAGCCCTCAGCACCTGTTCCCCTCAGCTGGTCTCACTGCTCAACTTTTCTTTCGCCTGTTTGATTCATATAATGCAGAGCAGGATGTTTATCAGCGGCTTCCCTAAGATCCTGCAGATCTTCCTTTCCCTGTATCACATGATCATGCAGCCGGTGCTGAATCCTATAATGTTTGGTTTGCAGCTCTCCAAAATACGGGATGCTTTTAAAAATCTTCTGTTTCCTAAATGACCCGTCACGCAGATGTGGTGTAAAAAGGAGTTGGTAAATGTTTGTCAGCCTTGTGTAATGCTGTGACTGAGTAAAGAAAAAATGTCAAATAAATTATACTGAATGTCTTGAAGTAGAGCTGACATCAGTACTTGACCAAAATGATCAGTAGTTTCTTTATAATCATATCAGAAGCTTAAAAGTCAAGACATTTTGTAAGAAAAAAAGGTCTGACAATCTGGCGTCAACAACAACCATCCATAATCTGTCCTAATAGTTCAGTGTGTTTTTGAATTTTCAAATGAATTTTACTGAACCTTTCACAGAGTGTGAGAGTTGTGATGGTTATGTTGCAGGAAAGATGGAGAAGATTTTTTTTGTAGTGTGATCCACGCAGGCCATGTGTAAGTTGAACAGGTTCTCACATGACGTCTGGGTTTGATAGATCCTGAACATAAGTTGTTAACTGTGACCTGGTGTGTTTTGCAGGTCTGTCCTGACACACACACACAGGCCCAGGATGTAGAAGTGCTCATGAGTAAACAGTCAACATGATGATGTCCAGGCTGTTTTTATCCAGTCAGAGGCTTTAGTCTAGTGAGTGACGGTAAAACTGATATTTAAAACAGTCTCTGAGGAGACAGAGTTTGAATAAAAATCCTAATTCCGATTTTACACTTGATCACAGTCAAATGTAGCCCTGAGTCACTCCATAAAGTGTGCATGTTTAACATAGTCGGCTCAGAAGAATTGGAAGATAAAAATGTTAATGTTCACAACATTAAGTGGTTGCATGTTAAGAGAAAACTGCCACATCTCAACATTAACATTATCAAGTTCCATGTCTAAACTAGGGCTGTAAATGATTGGATATGTTTTATTTTTGATCAATCACCGGGTAGCTGTTGATGACAATCAATCATAATTAATCACGATCACAATAACTTAAATCAAACTGACATTCATAAGTATGATAAAAGCATTTCTCTGTATATTGCTGGGACAGAAAGATCAACAGCAGTTAGATGTCAATGATTTTCACATAATCAAGGTTATTCTTGCCTGCTCTAACCGGGGCTCTTTGCAATCCATTTAATGCATGTGTGTGCTCAGGGTACTCATAGTTGACTGATACTTTCATAACTTTTAATGATGGTTTCTCTTGAAGTAATTTTTCCGTTTATTGATGGAAATCGATGAAAAGAAAACGCTATGATGTACAGCCCTTTGACCAGAACAACTAAGGTGGTGCAGTGTGACAGTTCAGTTTGGTGTTAGCTTAACTCCACACTTCAGTCCTGAACTTCTTCATAAAACATCCAGGACAGAGTTGTCTGCCTGAACTCTGTGGTTGTCAGGTCAGATGTCAACATGTTTGTCCCTCAGGTGTCTTTACATCAGCCACAGTTTCCAAACAAAACAAGTCTGTTCCTTGGTGTCTTCAAAGGTCCACTAATGATATCCCTACGGACACACTCACACACACTTACCCAGACCAGTGTTTGTCCCCTGTTTGGCCACAGGATAACTCATGTCCCTCATTAATGTTATTCCCTCTTGTAAAAGTTTGTTCTTCACACTCACTTACACTCAGGTGTGTGTGTGTGTGTGTATCCAAAACTACTGAAGTTTGATTATTTAAATCTGTTGACATGGAGAATCAAATTGTTTGTTTTACATCTAACACAGTGACACAGAGTTACTGGAGTAAACATGGCTACACGTGGAAAAGCAGTTCCATCTCACCAGTTCAATCCCCAGCTCATGTTCTCCTGTTCTCTCGGTGTGTGTCTGAGGCCCTGTTTACAGAACTGCAACACGATATGACTACTGGAGCTGCAAAAGTGGAATAATTAGCTGTAACACACCAAGTAGCCGAGAAGTAGCCTGGCATCTGCCATTGTTGTTATTGTGTGGCGTTGAACATCATGTCACCCTGCTCTGTTCACACAGAGACGCAGGGCTCCAGTTCTTAAAGTTCACCAATCTGAGGCCTGTATTTGGGTTCCCCACCCCAACGCTCCGGATCCATCTAAACACAAGCCTGAATCGGTGCTATTGCTGTGGGATCTGTAGTTGTAAGGTCTCTCTCACCTAAATGTGACCATGAGATGGGTGAGGATGAGTGAGGACGGTGAGGAGGATGAGTTGGTCCTCACTGTCATCTGCTGATTAAACTCTATACAAGGAGTTTCTACCAGTCCAAATACTGTTAACTTGTTACAAAAGAACTGAGTGTTAGAACTAATGGTTGGTGATGATGGTGATGATGATGATGAAGATGAAGAAATGTTTACGAGATAAAGTAGAGAAAAATTTCAGGGAGAAAGAAAAGTTTGGTTTGGATGTCATCATTTCCTCCAGAGAGAAACTGTGGTCCAAACATTGGTCCATGTGTCTGTGGGACATCATTAACAGTTCTTCTGTGGACCACAGGGACCAGGGCCCAGCTCCCACTGATAAACATGTCACTCTTTAGTGTCTGAGGACATGAGTGGAACCGATGCACAAGGGAGTAAACAGTGACCAGAGAACAGAACTGATTTGATCCAAGTCACAGTGAGGAGTAATGTTTTTTATTATTATACTGTGACTTCTCCCCCTGGTGGTCATTTAACCACTAACCTAACAATACACAAAGGTGACATCAGAACTGTTTTCTTCTACTAGACACAAACTTTGTCTGTCTCTTGACGTTTCCTGTTCAAACATTCATTGAGTTAAACTTGGGGAAAATATTTTTAAAATATTTAGGATGGGGATATATTTTTTATGTATTACATATTTATACATTTTAATGATAGATGAAGGCTGTGTATATTATTTTGCCACTTTTTGTCAAGTATTCAGTGTAAATACAGAGAAACAGAAGTACTTTCCCTGGGTTGTTTGAGTTTTGAGATGTTTAAGTAAAAACATTAACTATTTTAAAAATTTTAAAATATATGTTTACCCTATTCTGCCCATAGAGGCTGTCAATGGGTGGGAGGGAGTGGGGACCGGGGTGGGCGTGCCGGGCGAGACGCAGCTGCCGTTCAGGCCCTCCATCGAGTTTCTTAATAATGCGTGTCCAACTGTGATCCACTATAGAACTTGCAACTAGAAGATCGTTATATTTCATTACATATACTTTTTGTGATATTTTTTTGAATTTAAAATGAATTGACCCCCTGTGCCCACCTGTGTCAGCTCCACAGAGGGCCCACTATGAGAACTTTCTTGTCAAGAGTGGATCCCCACTTCTTAGACCTTACCTGGTAATTTGACTGTTGTAGTTGTTTAAGGGATTTTGTTTCAGGAAAACAAAACAACATCGAGCAGAACCAGCTGTGTACCATTCAGTGGGCTGTGTACTACTCACTAGGCTGCACTGTTGTCATGCTCTGGCCTCAGTGTCGATGGAACAGATCCAGATAGATGATTTAAAACCAGAAAAGTCTCCAAACTCTATGCGATGATGAGCTTCTTCTCTGTGCGATGAGGTAAAATCGCTGATTTTCTGAATGGACTTCAGTGTTCAGTAGAGCAGCTCAGTCAACTACAGGAACTAGAACTGACTTGAGTGATTTTAATGATGACCACTGTCACATCACTGAGACCAGACAGATGGAAGTAAAAGTCATGGGAAATAACTTTTGGTATTCTTCATCAGAACAGATTTTATTTTACCTCTGGGCTTTGACGTCATCATCACCACTGTGTGTGTGTGTGTGTGTGTGTGTGTGAGATGAGGTGTATAAGAGCAGTGGACTGATGGAGCATCTCCTCAGTGTGAGTGTGGTCTTGTCATGTTGTACTTGTTTGTTTGTAGACAGTGATTTCTGACAGCTTGTTTTCTGATCAGTCGTTGAAGCTGAGCTGAGATGTTCTTATCCTGTGGTTCATTTCTGAGGACTTTTTTCATAAAAAGAAATTCTTGGTCATGACTTTGCTTAAACACTGGTATGAGATTAGAACTGATTGATTTTCTGACTATTTTTTTACATAGTTGCTGAAATAAATAAAATCCCAACAGTCATAGTTAACTACAACAAATAAACAAAACGTCCAACTGAAGCGCTGGTTATCAAAGAGGTATTAATTGATTGTTGCAGCAGTGTGGTTGATGGTTCAATATCACAGACATGTTGTAGTCATGATCCAAACCCTGAGCTGCCATCATGCTGAATAATTCCGAGCTGGTTCTTTTGCTCCACGGACTCAACGACTCCCTGGCCAACCCTCTGCTGTACTTCTCCCTGGCTCTTACCTCTTACATGATCATCATCTTTGTGAACCTCATCATCATCGCCACCATCTGCATGGAAAAGACACTGCATCAACCCATCTACATCTTCCTGTGTAACCTCTGCTTCAATGGGATCTGTGGAGCCACCAGCTTCTACCCAAAGGTGCTGCACAACATGGTGGTGGAATCTGCTGCCATCACCTACTCTGGTTGCATGACGCAGTTATTTGCTGTGTACAATTATGTGTTCTGTGAGTTCACCAGCCTCACTGTCATGGCCTACGACCGTTACCTGGCCATCTGCAGACCGCTGCACTACCATGCCCTCATGACATCACAGAAGGTGGTGCAGCTGCTGCTGCTCACCTGGTGCATCTCTCTGTTGGAGACCGGGGTGGGCATGGTGCTGACCGCCAGGCTGCCACTCTGCGGCCGCCACCTGCTCAAGCCCTTCTGCACCAACTGGGAAGTGGTAAAGCTGTCCTGCCACGTGGACACCACTGTCAACAACATCTACGGCTTCATAATCATGGTCTCGCACGTGATACAGACTGGATTGATCGTGGTTTCTTACGCTCACCTGGTCGGTGCGGCTCTGCGCTCACATGCTGACCGCAGGAAGTTTGTGCAGACGTGCCTCCCTCACCTCATCACACTGCTGGTCTTCACCGCATGCCTAGTGTTTGATAGCTTGTACTCACGCTACGGCAGTGTGTACCATCTGCAGGCTCTGCAGAACATACTGTCCACAGAGTTCCTGGTGGTTCCACCTCTGATGAACCCCATCATCTACGGCATCAACCTGCAGGACATCAGGAGGAAGATCCTGCGAAAGCTGGGCATCAGGCCTGAGGTCGTCCTCACACACGCCTGAGCAGAACACTGTCCTCACCATCTGAGCCACACAAAAAGGCCCTCACTAAATTAGACTTTTTTTAACATTAGAAAATGAGGTGATCATGTTCATCATCAACCCAATAATATAATTTAGATAGATTAAAAGTCATCAAAAAATCAACCTCATGTGTGATATATAAATATCACCTATAACTATGAAGTATCTGGAATATTTTTACTGAAAAACTGTCAAAAAAGAATTGGATAATAATAAATACTTTATAAAAACTGGTTTTGAGCTGATATTCTCATAATTTTAATTTTGTAATGTTTTTTAAAAGTTTTAATGGTTAAAAACAGTTTATGTTTGATCAGGAATATGAATAAATGCATGGAAGCCTTTATTAATTCATCTGACCTTTACATTTACTGTCACAAAAATAAAAAAATAAATAATTTCAAGAATAAATCAGAGACGCTTTTACAGTAACTTTGGTTTATTTTGACTCGTTACCAACATACTGTATGCAGCATCACGTGTGCGTAATGATGTCACTGATGACATCACTTTATATGATAATAGCGGTGTAAAGCACACTCAGGGTTGCTTCAAGGTATTTTGCAGAATTTATGGAGTGTGTGTGTGTGTGCAACCATTTCCAACAGCAGCTCATTTATGTGCAATATAAATATCAAAAATAAATCTCAGCTCTTTGACAGACCGCTTCACAGTCCCTGAAAACAGAATGGCTGTAGATTTTTCATCGAAAATCAATTAAAATGGATTATAAATCACCAGAATGACTTTGAAGTTCAGGGATAACGGTTTTACCCAGGTGTAAACATCCATCTTAATCTTCTAAGTATTTAAAGAAACCCTGGAGAACTGATTTCGATGACGTTATCTCCATCAACAGGTGACTGTTCTGACTGTATCACTAATGAACCTCCATAGCAACAGCATCATCAACATCAACACCACAGGTTGTGAAGAACACCAAGACTGAAGAGTTTCTTGTTCTTTTAGTCATCTCCGTCACGTGGACTTCACAGTAATGTAAAGAAGCTTCTGCAATGACAGTGAAATAGAACGAGGTGTCACAGGAGGGACCTGGGGTGAGGAGACGAGACTTAGACCAAGCAGCCAGTCAGGTTGTTCTTTTCTGGCTCCAGGAAGTCGATGAGCAGAGCGTCCGTCACCTGTCGGAGCTCCTCCTCCAGACTGGACACGTCACTGTAACACAGACACACGAGCTGTGAGAGAAACAGTAACACACCAACTGAAGTCCACACATTTTGGTGTCAGAGTTCACTGACCTTTTTCCTGGTGCAGCGCAGAACTCAGTGTAATACTTGATCTTTGGTTCTGTGCCGCTAGAACGGAGCGTGGCCACAATTCCATTCTGTAGCATGAAGGTGATCATCTGGCTGCTCTTGGACACTGGGAACACCTCCATTGGACACAAACAGAAATATAATGTCACAAACAATGCCACACAAACAACATCAGACTTTTCAGCTCTTACAGATCTGAGATCAGCTCGGCTGCTGTCGTATCCTGTGGTAATGTCTCTGATATTGAGGATCTTGATGCCGGCGCATGTTTTTGGATACGAACCATCACCGTCAAAGTTTCTGATTCTGTGAAAAATCTTCTTGATTGTTGGAGGGTTTCTGCAGATGACGTAGGAGGTTTTTGATAAATGGTAACCATACCTGCAGACAGGAAGTTACACACAAGTGTCAAAGAAGAAGCCTCAACACACACACTGAAACACCCATATACATACACACAAAGGCAGTCACACACATACACTTACAGATAGACACAACATGGTTGCACTTTAAAAACATATGACACACATGTTCAAAAGATGAGTTTGGTGTATCTGTACCAAATGATTTGTCCTGAAAGGTTCAGTTTGAATACAACTTCCTAGTACACACTTACACACAAACACACACACACACACACACACACAGATACACAAGCTGTTTAATCACAGTACTCCTCCATCTTGCTGTACTGTTGGTCTAGTGTCTTTGTGTTTACATTGTTTGCAGTTTTTCATGGACTTCAGAGCATTTGTGATGATGCAGGAAATGCAGAGTGGATTAGTGTTATTGTTATTAGTCGTTTAAGACATGATCATTGATGTGTAGTAAGGAAATAGAAAGTTCTTTTAAATATAAAAAACACAAGGACAGAACAGTGACTTTCTATTACATCAAAAACGAAACTCTGCTGCCCCCATGTGGCACACACTGGTAAAAAACATCAAATTGATCAACTGCATTATTTCACTTTAAGAGTTTTAAAAGCCCTGCTTTAAGTGCAGTTTACTGCAGTGCAGTGCAGTGCAGTGCAGTGCAGTGCAGTACAGTGTGGACATTTGTCCTCAGTGACTCACATCTGGTAGATGTTGTTGAGCTGCTGATTCAGACTCAGGTTCTTCTCCTGCAGATAAGCTGCCATTTCAGCCACAACCACAGCAGCACTGACGCCGTCCTTCTCAGGGACCATGCTTCCACACAGGAAACCTGTCAGCAAACAGGCCTAGCCTCAGGTCACGTGACAGGGTCGATGATGACTGAGAGAGATGGTTGGCTCACAAAGAGGAAGAACCGGAACCCTGTTCACTCACCAATGGACTCTTCGAAAGCAAAGATGACTGGGTTTCCAGTTTTGGAGAGTTCGTGAATCCTGTTCCCGATCCACTTAAATCCTGGGAGTGTTTCCTGTTCAACACGGAGACAATGTTAGGTATTTTATCACCATTGTCATTACTGTTTAGGCCCGGGGTTGGTGGGAAAATGTTTACATCACTATTGATAATGTACATTGTACATATGTCACATAGAGGTAATGATACTACAGTACAATCTGAAGTATCTGCAGATAACAACACCACTCAGTTGTCTTCATAATACATTAATATTGTGTACTGCATGCTCCCCCCACCCCCCCAACCGCTCAATTCAATTTCAATTTATCAGGTGCTTCTAAATTGATTCAAGCACCTTGTGTTAAAGCACAGCATACGTTCAGTGGAGAACAGTGCCACCTGCTGTCGTAGAGGGGCACCTACAAAGTCACTCGGTGCAGTGGAGAGGAGTTTGCTGCAGTTGGTAGTGAGTTGGTCCAGCAGTGAGCGATGTGTCAGTAGTTAAGAGCGTCAAGTTTATATCAGAGTTGCTGTGTCTATTTTTATTTACTTCTTATTACTATAACCAGTGGGTGAGATATTTATCTCCCTGAGGGGCTGATCCTGAAGTTCAGAAACCCACCACACCTCATTCCAACACGTTGTCCTCGTCTCACCTCAAAGTGGAATCCCTCCATGTTAGCCAAGGTCTGAAGAATCTTGGAGGACACAGTGGTGGCCAACATATAGACTCTCTGAGTGTCTGCTGGACTGGGATGGTTCTCCTTCCAGTTAAAGAACATCCACCATCCAAGCAGAGCCGCCAGCTCGTTACCTGTGAACACCTTCCAACCAGACCTGAAACACAGACACACACCCACACACACACACAGGTGAAGTCACGTGTTGGACACTCACTGCCCCTACAGGACATTTAAAACCCTCAGTTACCCATCATGCTTTTCTGCTACAGCCAGACGATCTGCATCAGGGTCAGTGGCCAGAACAATGCGAGCATTTTCCTTCTCTGCCAGTAGGAAGGACAGTTCCTGAAACGCAGAACCAAAGAAAATCAAACTCTATCATTACAGTAAAAAGAATCAGACATTTAAGAAGAAGTTTTTTCTCTTTTTACCAGAACAGACTCTCCTTCCTCTGGGTTTGGAACGTGGATGGTGGAGAAGTTGGGATCCGGATCTTTCTGTTCCAGCACAGGAATGGGTGGAGTAAAGCCAAAGGTTTGGAAGGCCTGTTGGATGAAGTCATGTCCGACACCATGGAAGGACGAGTGGACAAATTTGAGTGGGCACTGAATGTTCAGATCCCTGAGAAACACGAGAGAACATAGTGAAGTGGAGAAGTTTCTTTGATGAAGATGTGAAAAGTCTTCTAGAAACACACACAGTCCAGTTCTTTATGAAATGACCTGGAGGTTTGAAAACCAGCACAGACATGAGAGAAAACATTTTCATTTTATCATCTGACTGTCATGGAGTCACTATGTTTTACTTTAAAATGGCAGTTTGCTAAAAAGTAACGAAAAGTAAAGCTAACACTAACGCTAAATTTTTATAAACCTGTAATTCTGTTAATATTAAACCTCCACCAGACTCCAGTGTAAATAGTTACTGTCACTGACATGACATAACAACACAGTCACCATCAGTCAGAGAGCCTGGAAACACTGGACACATACCTGATTCAGGACAGCAACACATCTGTGTCCCTTGTTGTTTATTTATAATGTTTTTACTGTCTTTGGTTTTAATTTGTGTAACATTTATGTGACTGGACAATTCAAGTGTTTGAGTTGTTATTATCAGTGTTAAGAGATTCTTTCTGATGGCTGTCATTTACAGTGCAGCAACAGTCTTAAAATCTGAGATGAATAACTTCATGATCAACGTGGTTTATTTAAAAGTACATTCTGTTCAACAGGAGGGGCTGATGTCATAAGTTTGGGGTCTGGTGACAAATGTTTGAGAGAATATTTTTTCACAGTGCCTTGGTGTCTGGTTGCAGGAGTCTGGTCTTTTTGAGTGTGTGTGGGTGGATGCAACACTCTTGGGTCCAGTGGTGTCTGCAAAGGTAAACAACACCTGTTACCTGTGGTAGCAGAGGGTAGTGAGCTCTTCCATGTAACAGCTGTTGATCTGATCCAGGGGGTCAGTCCTTAAGGAACATTTCTCCACCAGCCCCTCGTCCCAGCAGGAGGCGCTCCAGGGTTCCAGGTGCTCCTCGATGCTCAGCAGGATCTCTTTGTCATGAGGGGAGGAGATCTGAGCACCATTACACCAGTACACCTGAAGGTGGCAGTACAGCAGTTAGCACAGGCACTGAAACTTCCTGTTACACCTAATCTGACTCCTGGTAACTCTTGTCACCTTGTAACCATTGTCTTCTTTAGGATTGTGAGATGCTGTGATCATGACTCCAGCAGCTGCTCCCAGCTTCTTCACTGCGTACGGCTGTAAACCACAGCAAAGACTTGGCTTCAGGTGTGAATGACATTTAAGGTTTTCTTTGTTTATTCTTACTTTAAAGTAGAATCAAGTAGAATATCACTTCTTATGGAGACACTTTTCTTACCACAAATGGTGTTGGGACAAACTTGGAGAAAAGATGAACAGGAACATCTCTGCTGAGCAACACTGCAGCTGTCAACGTAGCCAACCTGAAACAAAATCATGACCCATAAACATAAATAAATAAAGCAATGTAACACTTAAGCCTTGCTCAACATATGAACATGGTATTGCATGATTGATAGTCTGTACTCCATTGTCCCAGTTTATTCATTTTGTTTTCCCACAAACTGTACCATAACCAGGAAAATTCTGAGCATTGCCAACAGCCTCACTACCAAAATGTTGCTGATTTCAAGAGATGGCAGAGGGGTAAAGCACCTAAACCTTATGAGGTATCAAACTTACATTAACCCTCAGACCTTGTGTTATAACAAACTGAGGGCAACCGCAGGATTTTAGACTGCAGTAAAAGTTAGAGGAAGGGAATTATTGAGATTCAACCCCAATGCAGTGACAGCAAGTGAAGTGGTGGTATCCTGCCGCTGGTTAATGTACATGATGTGAACCTTGTATTCTCTGTTACCTCTGACTGCTGCAGCCGCTGTCCTGCTGACCCCTGGTGTCAAAACCAACCACTACACCTCGACTGTGGAGGTCAGCAAAAAACCTGGACAGGTATGAACACAAACCCTGGGCAAAAAAAACAAAGGTTAAAGGCCCACTGACCAACAACTGCTTCATGACTTCATCACATTAAACACCTGTGTGGACTGGATGATAGTGAGATCATTGATCCGGTTGAAGCCAGCTCCCATAGGTGCTCTCAGACCAGCTGTTCCAAAGCTCATCCTGCTGCCGAGTCTGGAACTCAGGTTGTCGATCTGACCTGCTGCAACCAGAGACTCCACCTGAGCTCGAGTCCATGGGTTCTGTGGTATAAAAATGACAACAACACATTTGGATTAAGCAAAACAACCAAATTACGAGACAATTCTTTAGGGATGCTATTTTACACACATCAGCTGACAAATTCAAAAGTTGACATTTTTCTTTAGTCTACAGTCAGTTTTAAAGGTTTTTAAAGGTTAAAAGTTAAATGTATAAGACATCTGTGTGTGCGCGTCTTTTTCCGGCTACTGACATTTAAAGTAAGGGTCAGAAAACCATCGTAGCAGTGGTGACCTTTACAAAGACACAGCTGTGTTTGTGTGTCTGTGTGTGTATGTGTGCAAGTAAATACACTTCTGAGGTCCATTTGTGAGCACTACTTAAACTGCATCCATCAATCTATTATCAATGATGAATCAGATGATTTAATCCCAATGGGATTTTACTTAGTGCAATTTATGACATACTGAGACATCACACTGTATGTACAGTAGTGGTCACTCCCACTTTATTTACATCATATTTTCTCTCTCTCCCTCTTTTCTCCTGCCTCTGTGAATATGTACTTTTGTTTGAAGAAAATGTTATTCTTCAGAAGTAACCCTTGAACCTACAACTGAGACCCTAAGATTAGCATTTTAATTTTTTTATCTGATACCTTTTTTCATTTTCATTTGGTTTGTTGACTATGTCAGGGCTCACTCTGCAACTACAGCCCGCAAAAGAGAAAGATTGGCCCAGATTCTTTAAATATTATCCATGTAATACTGATCAAGGCAGTTAAACAAGGCTTTGTACTCTGTGTTTACCTAAAGCAAGCTCAAAATTAGCAAATTGTCAATCTCCAACTTGGGTCTTAAAATTATGGTGTAGGGACGTAATTGAAAATGTCCTTTAGTGGTAGTGTATAAAAATAGGTCAACATGCATTCTTATATGATGTGGCCCAGATTCTGAGTTTCCTTTTTTCAATTTTAAGCTTCACTTTCATCTTGCTGTGTCTGATGGTCTAGGCACCCATACGGTTGGTTATGCAGTGATTCTGCTGAGTCACACTGCAGGAAACCCGATAGCAAACCTCAACCAGGGGGTCTGTGTATGATCTCAGTCAACCAGGTCATTGTATCCCAAGAAATTCAGTGAAAGATCACTGGACTGGCTTTGTTTCTTGAAACTTCACCTTTTATCCAAGGATCAGAACCCTCCTGGATCAGGAGCACTAGAAGTTGTTTACACATCTACACTTAAACACAGTGTGTGCTTGTGGTAATGTGAGTGACTCATGTCCATTTCCTGTAAAGCATTGTGTAGTGTGTTTTTGCCATTTCGTGACGAGCTCTTGTTGACTAAACATCTGGTTCAGCCAATGAGGGACTATAGTCTAGAAAAATGCACAAATATATATAGAAAACCCAGTTCGTTTGGAAATTCCTCATTTTTTTATTGTCAATCTTTTTTATGTTGTTGATAAAAGGGTCCCACCAAACACACCAAGTAACACAGATCGGGGGCGAGGGGCAAAGGTCGCACGCCTCACTACCAACACTTAATTGTAATAATAAACGGAAATGGAGTGATGGATAGTCGGACAACATCCTGCCGAGCGTAATTTTATTGGCTGCTCCTCAGCATGTTCTTAGATGGTCTCGGTTCAAATAAACACCTGCAGCGCGTCATTCAGGAGCCGATATTACCAGAACACTCTGATCCTCCGGTAAACATGAGTCTTCCATTTGTTTAAAGATGCATAAGCGTGGAGACAGAAACACACTACAATTTGAAATATATCTGGACGAGATTTGGTGTTGTGGTACAGTCGCAGCGTCATGTACTGTACTTCCTGTAGCCAAACTTATTTCTAACGGACCCTATCTGCGTCAACACAGACACTCACCTTGTCCCAGCTTAACCATTGCTGGACCGCCGTCTCCAGCTGAAAGTTGCCGGTACTCGGACTATTTTGATTGGCGTTCGGGTCTCCGTTAACTCCGTTACCGTCGCCCATGTTTTCAGCTAACAGATAGAAGAACACTGCGAGGCCATCAGACAGTCAGTATGACAGCTAACAGCTTGTGGACCGGAGCGCGGCTCAGACGGTTCTGGTCCTCCGTTCCCGGCTCCAGGACCGGTCTTGTGTCTCTTTTTTTATGATATGGCTGCCGGTGTCAACTCGTGACCTCGCTGACGCATGCGTTCGCTAGCAGTGATATTAGTGGCACAAAATTGGGCCAAGGCCGATAATTGTCCAGAATATTCAGCGGTAAAAAGTCAGACAAGACGGCGGAACAAACATCAGTTAAAAAACTTCGGAAACTGCGCGATGTAGCCCGGTTTACAGCCTAACTACAACTTCCGGTCTGTTACCAACATAAAAGACTTATAATGCTCTTTAAAGTATTATTGGAATATAAGGTCACGTGCGAATATAACAATTTTTGTTTTTCTCACAACCGTCGCATGTTTATCAAAAATAATGATTTTATTGTTTCGACTGCAGAGCCATCACTTTTAGTACTTCTGCCTGACTAAGGACAACTTACGTTTTTACCCCAGTCACTATTAACAAAAGTTTCTTGATCTGTTAAACCAGACAATAAGTTATTGATACATTGAAACATCAAACACACATTCATTACAATTTCTTTAATATTAAATAATTAACACACAAAGGTACAATTTGGTCATTGAAAAATATTTTCATGTTCCTTTCAAATTAAAAGTTACAAGGAACCACCAAAATTTCAGGGAGTTTGTGGAATCTTTCTTTTTACATTGAATTTCACTTTAAGAAGCTTTTACTTTTACAAACTGGTGATCTACTTCTCTTTTGCATCCATTTCTTTATATAACGCTGGGATGGATGGACCTCCTCAGTCGACCCTCTGTTTCAACTAGCTGTCCCCTATGTCCCCCTCTTTCAGTTCACAGTTGAACTGCTCTTTGAAAGCATCCAGGAAGTGTGGGACGGTTTCCTCCATGCTGATGTCTCTTTGCAGCTCAGCACTCAGTGAAGTTACACCTTTTCCTTCAATGCCACAAGGTACAATGTGATTAAACCATGTCAAATTAGTATTGCAGTTCAGAGCCAAACCATGAGACGTGACGTAGCGGCCGCAGTGGATTCCTGGAAACCACCACAGAACAACACTTGGTAATTACTTGACAGAAAAGATTAAATTACAGAATCAATTACAAATGGTTTAGTCTTTTGAAAAATCATACCAATGGCACATATTTTCTTGTCTGCAACCCAAACTCCAGTATGAGGTGACGTGGAGGATTCAATGCCAAACTTCTGGCAGAGTGACATGATGGTTTTCTCTAGCTCACAGACGTACCAGCGAACACTCTGGGTGACAGAATGACTTAAAACCAATTTTATGTTAAAATTGTATTATGTTTCTTAGTCATGTACCTTTTTAAAACTACCCAGGTGTAGGATTGGATAACAAACCAGTTGTCCTGGCCCATGAAAGGTGATGAGACCTCCACGATTGGTCCGCTGCACATCAGCACCCAGCAGGCGGAGCTGGTCCAGAACGGAGGCTGGATAGGGTCTTTGGCGGATCCCAGTGGTGTAGACTGGTGGGTGCTGACACAGAAGCAGTGCATGTGCTGAACCAGATTCGTGCCTGTTCACATAAAACTGCTGCACCTGCAGAGCCTCCTGAAAGGGGATTAGGCCCAGACGGACCACCTCCACTACTGGCTTGGCACGGTGCATTCAAGCCTGAAACCAAGGCCACAAGAGTGACTGGTTAGGACGTTTTTTAAAGTCACAAGCAAATACCACAATACAATACAATTTGTGTCCCTACAAGCTTATAAAAACCCAATATTATCCTATGACTGCAGTCTTTGTGACTTAGTGGTCAAAACCTCTGTGTTATTCTCACCAGAGGATGTACTCACAGCTGAATATGCCCTTGTTGCCATTAAGCAGTAAAAGTTTGTTTTTCTACGTTTTAAATCATAACGTTTTTGAGTGAATTTAAATTGCATCAGTGCCACATTAGATAACAGAAAAGTGATATTGGATAATTTTTCATCTAATAAACAGACTATCCATTCAGCGCTCGAAATAATGTAAAAAACAACAGATTTTCAACCAAATTTTTCATTCATTTTTGGAGTGCTCATTCACTTATGTATTTTAAACAGCAATCCTGGGTAAATATTAAGACAATGGGAGTCAATAATGAGTTTCTCCACAGGTTTCTATAGACAGATAGTGTAATCGCTTAAACATGTTTACTTCTGTTTATGTTTTTACTATTACCTCGGTATACACACTCCTCAAAAAAACTTCTCACACCGCAGCCATTGTTGTCTTTCGTTTCCTGGGTCAGATGGTCTATTTCCTGTTTGTGGCATTCAAAATAAACTTACAAATTCTGAAAAGAAATTAAACGATCCAAAATTGTGACAAGAACACGAAAGATATTTAAATTTGAAATATACCTTTCAAATTATCTGTTTTATTACATAAAGCACAAATGTTTGTGTTGTTCTTTATGTGTGTTGTATGTACAGTATGTATGTTCTAAGAACGTAAACTCATCGAGTTTTATTTTGAAATAAATCTACAGGATACTGGCGCCATATTGCACAGCGGTTGTACTAACTCTCTTCCGGCGGCAGCAGCAGCAGCAGGGCGGGGTTTGTTTTGAGAGTGGACCGGAGAGAGAAGAAGACTATACAGGGAAGATGGCGACCGCGGGGTCTGCCGAACGGCCTGGTAGACCGGCCAACGCCGCACCAGGGAGATCCGTCTCAGGGCCCGGAGCTATTCGTGGTTCCGGCTCGAGCTCCGGGTTCTGTCTACCGGAGGATGAGGTGACAAAGTGCGCTAAATGCGCGGGACTTGAGCCCGGTGGAAGCTCACCCTGCGGACACCCGGTCTGTCCACTCTGTCTGGCCCGGAGGAACTCCAGCAGTGAGGAGCGGCTCAGGAGAAGGAGTGACCCTGAGAAAAGCAGCAGCCGACCGGGGCGGAGGGACTGCGACAGTCGCAGAGGTGTGTGTTTTTACCCCGGTAAACTCCTGCTGTGTCAGCACCACCGCTGGATGTTTGGTTTTCAAACCAGTGGCAGAAAAAACAAGCGGAGATCAACATTTACACTGTACGTTGATGAATGTGGATGACAGGGACAGATGACTACGTTTTCTGGAATTGTAAATAAGATCAGCTCCGTCCAAACTGCGTTGACTTATTTTCTGACTCTGGTACCTGAACGCATCAATGACTGGAAAACAAGGCAGTGAGACGTTTAAATATGTAGATGTTTCTTTTTTAAAAATTAAATCTCTTTTTGTTTTTGATAAAGAAGCATGTCGATGCTTTATTCAGAACCTCCAACTTTATAGGAGACTGTAACCTGGTCCTTAACGAGGTAAAACTTCATACCCGTGTAAAAAAAAAAAAAAAAAAAAAAAAAAAAAAAAAAAAAAAAAAAATAGGGAAAGATATACTCTGGAGTAAGGTTGGAGTTAGGGTTAGCGTTGGAGTTAGGGTTAGCCATTGATTGATTGTTGTTAGGGTTAGAAATAAATTCCTGGTTATATATACACTTTAATGTCATTACAAAGTCCTGAAAGGAATAGCTGTGCCAGGGTGTGTGTGTGTATGTGTGTGAGGACTTGTCCAGACTTGTGCGTCTGTAGCTACAGCAGCTTCACTTCATGTGTTGGTGACTAATTCATATGTCACTGGTCCCCAGGTGAGCTCTTTGTCAGTGTATTCACTGTTTATTTTATTTTTGTTGACATCAGTGCCTAATGTTAACTGTAATAAAATGTTTTAGTCGTTATGTGTATGTATACATACATATAGTCCAGTGTAGATAGAGATAGATGGATAGAACTTTATTAATCCCTTGGGAGTTCCCTTAGGGTATTGTGTTGTATAATATATGATTTTTTTTATTGTTTGCTAATGTTGCAATTTCTTTTTCCTAAATTTTCTGAAACACAAGGAACTGTGTACATACACACAAGCACGAATATATATATGTAATATAATTATATAATTTAATTAAATATATTATATATATAATATATATTATATGTAATTGGATTATATATATAATTATATATGTTTGCTTGTTTGGTGGCACCAGGGAAAACTGGTGGAAAGTAACATTTTATGTTTAAGAAAATATATGTTGTGTTTATACATTTCTAAGTAAATATGTATAAACATTTTTGAATGTGCATGAAAGATAAAAAAAAGTTTCTTCAATGTTTAAAAAAAAAAGTGCTACACACAGTGATGTTTAAAACGTCTTTCTAACTTACTAACAAACACTCCCACGTTCTGTTTTGTTGCTCAGAGCTCTTCGTCTCTCCAGTTCTCCTCACAAAGTGTGCAGAGGTTTTATCGGGTGCGACTGCCAAACAGAAAGTTAGTATGAACTAAAACACAGACCTAGTCTCAGTAATGTCAGAAGGTGTACTACAGAAAACATTCATAAATATTTATCTGACAAAGTTCATGACACATTTATTCACTTGAAGAATTTAACATCTTGTGTTCTAGCTGTTAATGTCATCTGAGGACAGAGACGAGGTCAGGAGACGTAAGGATGAAGCTGTGAGACGGGATGACTACACTGTAAGTCCCACTGTGTCAGATTTTGTGGTTAAAGTCTGCAGCAGCCGAGCACACAAAGCTTTCCTACTGTCCATTGACAACAGCAAAGTTCTTAATTAATGCACTTTAATGAATTGTGGATGTTTTACTTATAAAAATATAATAACTAAAAAGTTCTTTTAATTGACATATTAATATTCCAAACCATGTGTCAGCTTTCTTGACATGTGGAATAGAAGGAACATTAGATCCAAAAAAATCTTGTTTGCTAGTATGTTCAAGACGCACCTTGAGTTGAGGTCCATTAATTAGTGAGTGTCAAAGGTCAGTCATCTATTGTATTGAAGTAAATTCAATGCCTACGTTTGATCCAAGGATGATGTTCTGGTTTGCTGTCAGGGAGTTCTCTCAGACTCAGAGAACGAAGAGCCGATCAGCCGGAGGATGCGGAACATCTCTGCTTTTGTCAGAAAAGCCAAGACATTTTCAGCCGCCACAGGGTGAGCACACTTAGATTAGATTATTCTCTGTCCAGTCTAGCCATGAAAAGCATGTCATAGAAGAGAGTATTTCATGATATGACAACCAAATGTAGGCAGGATGTTAACTTTGGTTTGATTTTCTGTGTTTTTTGTTTTTCTCAGTTGCTCTCAGAGGAGCCGCAGCTGTACCGACCCAGTGGAGAGCAGAGGAGGAAAAGTAAAGTTTGCCGTCCAGCCCGCCATTATGGACAGGGTATGACATCACACCTCAGATTTACATGAAAATGATGGGCTGTATCAAAGGTGAAGTTTGTGGAATATCATGAGAGCCTTCTCAGCAGCAGTGCACAACAGATAATACAAAAACAAATATGAAATAGTGGAGCGAACAAACAGGTTTGTTCTAAAGATTGAATTGTTAAACAGTCAACATATCTGAACCCTCCCTTCACTGATTTCACATCTCTCAGGTGGGGATCAGTCACAGC